CTGTTCCTCCTCCTGACACACAGACAGTCATCTCTAAAGTCGTGAGCTGCTTTGGAGCCAGAGTGAGAGGAGATGTCAGTCTAAGTCAGCTGCAGACATGGCACCGCCACATTTCCTGCTGTTCCACACCAGTCGCTCTAGAGGAGAGTGCCGTCTCCTCAGCGGTCCGAGAGGATTACTGGACAGGCGTTCGGTGAAGTGGACGACGGGTGGCGGAACGCTGGGACTATGTGTCGACAACATTTGTGTTTTCCTGCTGAAGTCGTCCAAATTCAGGTTTCTGCAAAGCGATTGTTGATTTTCTACTGATAGGACCGTGTTTGACGACATTCCTTCATAGATTCTGAGACAGAGAATGTGTTTGCCCCAGTGATGACACGAGTCATATATGTTTAAGACGATATATGACAGGATCCCAGATATACAGCAGTTCTGCAGGCTACCTACATTCAATACGTTCTGTAGAGGATCACAGTGTAGGGAGTAGGGATGAGCGAGTACACCACTGTCTGTATCTGTATCTGTTCAACCAACTAAATTATCTGTACCTGTATCTGTAATCGGAATGGGCGTGGCATAACCCGGAAGTGGGCGTGGTTTAACCGGAAGTGGGTGTGGTTTACATCAATACATTATTTTAAGTCTGAAATTAATATGGATTGATCGGAAGTTTATATGTGTATTGTTTATTTGAAAACTATTTACAGAGCAGCCTCAGAATTGAGATTAAATATTTTTGATCACAATAGTAAAGAAACTATTACAGAAAAAGTGTTTCAATAAAATCAGAACATTAATATTTGAGTGCATGGATTAATACATCTGAACTCATGCAGTAGGAACTAGGAAATATGAAATGCTAGAACCAGACACAACTTTATGTATATTTTTTTATTTTAATTTGATTAAACTGATTTTTTTCTTAACGTTCTTGGCATTTTGCCCCACACAAAGTTAAACAAAACTACGTGGATTGAGGTGTGTGTGTCTGAGAGAGATAGAGAGGGTTAGAGGGAGAGAGATGGAGTTAAAAAAATAAAAAACCCGACCGGAGCGGAGGGAGTGAGTGACTGATGCAGCACGTCAGCTCTGTCTTGTCAAACGCACCATGTCAGTTACGAAAAAAGTAACTTTAAATATTCAACCGAAAAAGAGGCGAGCTGAAAAAAATCTAGGGTAAACTGAAGAAACGTGAGCAACAGTGAAGCAATCACAGCGAGATCCGTTACTGTGTGTGTGTGTGCGTGCGTGGATGAGCCGGACGGACTGCGCTCCCGGCCGGCTAGAGAGTTTTGTGTGTAGGGAGGGGCGGGCGCTCTATGTGACTGGCCAATCACAGAGCGTGAAGACAGTCAGTTACCCAATGAGGATTTTCCTTCAGCACGATTACAGATATTTACGAGGTTTACTCGTTTCATGCTCGTATTTGTCAAAAATGCTTTATCCGTACCGGATACTCGTCTGAAACGAGTATCCGGCTCATCCCTAGTAGGGAGACAGTTTATCTATTTCTGCAAACAGGTGTTTTACTCTCACCAGTCCAGTTTATAACAGCTGCTAACACACAGTCCTGTCAACACTCTTTATCGATCCCTGATCTGTAACTTTTAGACATCACGGAGACCTGGACACAAAACCAGGTCCGACAAGCACCAGCAGAGGAAGCAATGCTTCTAAATGTGGTTTAAAAGAGGGTTTATGAATCAATTTGAAGCAAGTGACCAGCTCTAGGTGGTGTTTTCTCCCACTTTATTTTAATCTTTAGTCTTGAACTGAGCAAAGGAAAAGAGGTTTTACTTACTAAGTTTCCCGCTTCACCCCCTACTGGTTAAAAGCCGTGCCACAGTCTGGTGCTAACAACGAGCTAACACGTTAGTCAACTGATAAGCCACGCAGATCCACACTGCTGGACAGAAGTATTGTTACACACAGGGACGGACTGGGACTAAAACACAGCCCTGGACTTTGACTAGGCCCGGCCCAAAGTAATCAGCGCACGGAAATTCTGCAGCAAAAACACGCGGTCAAACCATCAGAGTGATAGCAACAGCGCTAATGTTGACTGTACGTTGTATTAAAAGCTGTATTACTGATAAGCTTAATAATGTATGCAGTAATAAAACTTCTTAAATAATACCACATCTAAATGAAAATGCAAACGTAACTTCTGTATTGAAACGCTTGTGAGCATTACCTGTACTACCAACCGGTTTACGTAAAACCACAACATACTTCTTATTCCCCCCTGCATGTGGCCTTTCACAGCTAAAATGTTGATATTTAGCTGTTATCATAAAATAAAATTGCGACCTAAACATGAATTCCTAACATCAATCCTTGCAAATGTTTCTCCTCTTTCATCCCATACTTGCTTCCCCTGGATCTGCCGGTGGAGCCAGCGCATCTTTCTGTCCCTCATCCCTGCCGTGACCCTGCTGCCAGGCGCTGCTGCTGGCTGTGCTGCTAAATAAGTCGGTTAATTTGTGACATTTAGAGGCGTTGGCATCTGAGGCCCGCCTTCTCAGCCCCACCCTTTCCTTTCCTTTTTTTTACTAGCGGCCGGGTTTTGCATCGTTTTTTTTTTCTACTGCCTCCTCTCCGCTTCAGCTTCTTCTTCTCCTTGCCTGGCGGCCACAGCCAATGTCGCTGGCCTCCAACTTAGAGGTGCAGTGCTGCCACCTAGAGCGCTGGAGGAGTTGAAAGCGTGCGTGGAGAGTGGTGGGCCGGCCCACCGGCCGTCCTGGAGTACCGGCCGTTTCTCCAGAATCCACAGATGGCCAGTCCGCCCCTGGTTACACACAAGTCCAGGAGCAACAAAGCCAGGTCACCATCGGTCCATGATTTCATAGCCTCCTTCAGCTAGCTCAAACAAGTGTAGGCCATGATGCTCACTCTGGTTTTAGCTCTTTGCTTTGAATCCAAGCACACTTTAAGTAATGGCTTAAACTGTTTAGTGTTGCTTTAACCCTCCCACCGTCTTTATGGGTGACCCCGCGAGGAAAGTTCACCATAGAGCAGGATTGATGGTTTATCCCTTCAGGTCCACGTGGCAGGGGTGAGGTGGTGCTCACTCCTCACCCCTGCCACGTGGACCTCAAGGGATAAACCATCAAGTCTACTCAATGGTCACACCCATTAGGACAGTGGGAGGGTTAAACATAGCACTCATAACATTTTCATTAGTTTTGTTCTCCTTCAACTCACTTCCTGCTCCTGATGAAAGCAGTTGTGCCCTCCAGCTCAGCAGTCGGTGCCATAGTACATACAACATGGAGACTGGAGACTGGGCGGTGGCCGTTACCATGCAGCTCCGATACGGATCAATCATTTGATCAGGACCCCCGATCTGAAACTTGAGTTGAGATCAGGACCCAAGCCTTCCATGGATATTTTAGATGGTGGCTTAGCAGGGTCAACAGGATGCAAAGCCACAAAACTGAAGTTGCAATGCGAGTATTCATAAAATGGAAGTAAAATCAAGATAAATGAATGAAGAAGCAAAAACCAGGTTTAGAGTTCTGGTTGAGCACTACTCCAGTTGCATTATGATGTCCTGTTGGTCGTTGTGTGGTGGCTTTTATATTTCACTTCCATCAACCCAGTGCTTGACTGATTGTGTCTTTGCTGTAACAATACTCCTGGGGAGTAAACAGCTAAAGATGTGGGTGGCGCCTCCAGAAATGTGCGAAACTCTCTGCAACCTTCATTAAAACAACAAGCTTCCTTACTTCTTACGCTAAGTTTATTTGTGAAGCATCACACTTGGCTCCCGTCCGTCAGGCACTGGCTGTCAGTGTCTCAGGTTTGCTGTGATTAAAATCTGAATGACCGGATTCAGTGATGAGGTGCGTCTGCAGCCTGTGAGCTTCCCTGCCTCTCCACCCCTGAAATCTGAGGGACGAAGGAGAGACTTACTTCAGATAATTACTGACCAACGTGGTACAGGTCTGCAGTCGTTAAATAAAACCAGGAGGCTGCTGATGTGATTGTTGGGGCTGCTTGCATGTAAACAAGAAGAGAGGTGAGGTGAAACACGCGGGAAGGGCTGCTGAGAGGACGACACGAGGGTCGAGAGAGATTCAGACGGCGGGGGGGGGGGAACAACAGGGAGGAAGTGGCGACTTACTGCTCCTGTGTGCTAATTATTTAGTGTGTGTGTGTGTGTGTGTGTGTGTGTGTGTGTGTGTGTGTGCTGGTCAGTCAGGTCTCCTCCCTACTGCCTTCTCTCTCCCTGCAGGGTGGCCATTACGGTGAGTCCCTCTGGCCACGCCATAGCACACACACACAGCATGGCACAAAAACAAGGTTCTGTGAGCACACACACACACACACACACACACACACACACACACACACACACACACACACACACACTCTCTCTCTCTCTCTCTCTCTCTCTGTCTCTCTCTCCTCCTCTTCAACAATCTGCCTATCCATCCAGCTCAGCTCGAGGGTCTCTGTGAGTGGGCCTCGGCCCCCTGCTAGAGCCATGGCCACATTAGCGGCCTGGCGGGGGAAGAGATGGCTGGGCGCACCGACAGCCTCCAGCGAACGGCTTCCCCGGAGTGTTGGCGCCCTCTGGATGAGCTGGAATGGTCACAAAGTGGGAAGAATCTAATCCGGTTATGCTCGGGGTTTTCTGCTGCGTCCTCAGCCACCAAGGGGCTTATTTGGGCTACTCCCCTACTTTAGTAAGTAAGCAGGAAACGGGACCTCTGGAAGTGATGTGTGTTTACTGGACATGATTAGATTAAATGGATGCAGCAGAGTGCAGGCTTGAATCTGGGAAGCGGAGGAAATAGTGGATCCATTCAGGCTCGTTTACAGGTATATCACACGGCAGCTTGATAGGGTTTATTTCTCTGGTGTAAGCACATCCTGCAGCTATGATTCCCCACGTGGACGAACTCCCGAGTCATTGTTGACTGGCTCCAGCGGATAGGAGTCAGTCTGCGTTCAGCCCGCTGCTTTGATCATGCTCAGGTGGAGATGAACCATACCTGCGTAGGGGATGGGGGCATCTTTATCCAGGGCGACCAGAGGAGGATCCAGCAGGACAATGTTGGTATTTTCAGTTATCACCCCATGGTATGATGTCTCTATCCACGGCTTGTGTTTATTCACTATGGAGACACAATGCAATAAGATGCTGCTGTTAGTTTTTACATATTAAATAAACCCACAACAAAAGTGCATTCACATACCAATAATTTAGCATTGGCATAAAAACACTTTCAGCATCCTGCAGACTCAGCATTATTAATGATATTTCTAATATCCATCAGCAATTCTTCTCTTCTTTTTGCTGCCGTCATCGTTCAGACCCACAAGTTTAGAGTCCCAGTCCCACACTTTGTCAGTTATCACCACTCCTTTAAAAGCACATTTCCCAAACTCTCGTTGTGTTGGTCAGGCTGGCACTTCAGAAAACCTGTAATGACCCTATTTACCAAACAAAGACCACCATTCACAAGTGTTTAAGGATACTAAATTAAAACGACCTAGTCAAGTGGAGCTGGGGGGTACCGCCAAATGTCTGCTCTCTGGGAGTTCTAGTGTTAAAGGTGCAATATGTGGGAGCAACTGCTCTCACTCCCAGTCTGTGAGTTTCATGACTGCTACAGGTCAGTACCAGAAGACTCTCGATGACCAGTCATACATGATGAGTTGATAAGTGGATAAATATTTTTTCATATCCGGTATTAGCACTCTTGGGTGCTTTACGGTAGGGAGCACTTACTACACTTATTACGGGAATACTGTCTTGCTGTTAGCTTGCTGCTATCGTGCTGAACAACTACACGTGCAAGCTGCTGTGGCAAATTTGGAAACAAATTGGCTTTAAACATTTTTTCAAGCCTCTCAACAACATTCTAACATTGTGGAGCTATGAATATATTGTGGAGATTTAAATAAATAAATAAATAAATAAGTGGTTCTCTCGCATTTGTCCACAAAATAACACGTTTCCGACCAAAAGCAACTATTGGACCAACCGGCCGTCAGTCTCACTGACCTGTCGCACATCCCCGGGTACTCCACTCGTCACACACTCACGCATTTAGCAACAGAACACCAATGGTGTGAGAGGTTCTCCACTCAATGATATCAGAGAAGGAGAAACAGCCAGCTGCTACCACATCTGCTTTAGGACAAACCACCAGATTCACAAAAAGAAAAACACCTTTTGAAGTCACAGACAACACAAAATGTTTGGACTTAGAAAAAGAAAGAAGGAAAACCATCGTTGATAAAGCGCCTCTCAAGATAAAAAAACACGAGGCACTTCACAAAAACAAAAAACAATTAAAGAACAAAAAATATTTCAAAAAATTGTAAATGTAAAAAATGTAATAAAAAAATTGAGGAAAGGGAGAAAGAAAATTAACAGAAAAGAGGGAAATCAGTGGATCTCAGGAAAGGTGGAATGAGAGCAGAATAAGGAGAGGGTGGTGATGAAGGTCACGCAAAAGCCAGCTTAAACATGCACGTTCTCAGAAACGAGAAAACTGAGCTGCGGTTGGCACTCCCTCGTTTCCTCTGGCATCACGGCTCTGTGGCTCCGGTAGAAGCGTCTCAGGGAAGAGAGGAGAGCTTGTTTGCAGAATTGTTTGCCCTAAGTGCTTTAAAGAAGCAGCCAGTTTGACTCATTATTCGTTTCACGTATACATTTCACTCAGTGCTTTATTACTTATTTATGTATTTATTTATTTACTTATATTTAAAGGAGGATAAAACCACTTGAGAAGAAGCATCTCATTTACAAGTGGGTCCTCCTGGAAACAAAGATGCAAATACAGACAAGATAACAGAGCGATAAATTCAATTCAAAACAAAAAGACAAATTAACACTACCACAAAAAAAGAAAAATACAAAATAAATACATAGACATAATGATAATAATAGTAATAATAATAATAATAGTAATAATAATACTGAAATTAATAAATAAACATAAATGAATAGATAAAATACTACTACTACTACTACTACTACTACTACTAATAATAATAATAATAATAATAATACAGAAATTAATAAATAAATATAAATGAATACATCAAATAATAATAATAATAATAATAATAATAATACAGAAATTAATAAATAAACATAAATGAATACATCAAATAATAATAATAATAATAATAATAAAACAAAGAAGTTGGTTAATCAAATGGAATAAATTGTATGAACAAATGTACTAAAGTACATTTACATAAAAATATGACAAAGGACGCAACTAAGTGGTAGAGAGACAACTAATACACAGCTCAGAGAGATTTAGGATAAAAAGTATAGTATGACTAAATGATGACACAATAATAATTCAAAAAAGGTACAGTTAGGTAATAAATAATCATGAATCAAAGTCTTAAACTGCCTAAAAGAAGTGGTGGATCTCATAACAACAGGAAAATTATTCCAGTCAGCTGGAGCTTTAACAGAAAAAGCCAGCTTCCCTGACGCAGCTCTACAACGGGGAACAAAAAAAGGAGGTAGACAGAGTTCTACGAATGTCATAATGAGACCAGAATGGTATTAACAGAGTTGTTAGGTAAGAAGGAAAATTCAAATATATACTTTTAAATAAAAACAAGTTAGTTTTTGTACCTGCTGTTGCAACAAACAGACACCACTGAAGGTCATCAGAAGTGAGGAACAGAAAATTAAATAATTATTTTAATGTTTAGAGCAGCAGGAACTCCGAGAGGCTGCAGGCGCATCAGTGAGTTTGCTGCCGCTGAGCGGGGGGGGGGGGGGCTGAAGCAGGGGGGGGGGGGGGGCTGAAGCAGGGGGAGGGGGGAGAGGGCTGAAGCAGGGGGAGGGGGAGAGGGCTGAAGCAGGGGGAGGGGGGAGAGGGCTGAAGCGGGGGGAGGGGGGAGAGGGCTGAAGCAGGGGGAGGGGGGGAGAGGGCTGAAGCGGGGGGAGGGGGGAGAGGACTGAAGCGGGGGAAGGGGGGAGAGGGCTGAAGCGGGGGGAGGGGGAGAGGGCTGAAGCGGGGGGAGGGGGGGAGAGGGCTGAAGCGGGGGGAGGGGGAGAGGGCTGAAGCGGGGGGAGGGGGAGAGGGCTGAAGCAGGGGGAGGGGGAGAGGGCTGAAGCGGGGGGAGGGGGAGAGGGCTGAAGCGGGGGGAGGGGGGAGAGGGCTGAAGCGGAGCAGTAAAGATGCAGAAACTACCGTTGTTAAAAGAAATGTGTGTTAACTTTGAAAATGTAGGCGCAATTTTTAATTGTCAAAAACTCCAGCGAACCAACCAGGACCCCTGATCACGGTCGTTTGTCGCCTCCCGTGTATCGAGCCCATTAGCATTGCTAGCTTAATGTTAGCCTCCAGCCTTCTTTACCTGATGTTAGAGTAAAACAAAAAGATGTCAGAGTACAACAAATAACTTCTGGGTGGCTCCTGTTTACTGGCTTCACATCGCTGGGGTTTTTTGACGGCCGCAGTAATATTACAATGCCAGTGTTGCAGTGTGCCGTTGCGTATGTGTGCGCTCCACGCGTAACAGAAATGCACATCTCTGTGTTGACTGATTTGAACGCACCCGTCACGATGCAGTTTTGGCTTGAGAGATGCTGCTGGTGTTGCAGCATCTGTTTTGTGGATATTGAAAACATTTCTCCTTTCATGCATTCTATTGTTTTATATCATAAAAGCCGGTGTAGGCTTGTGCTGGACGTGCTGATGGTTATGCTTATCATGTATCGATGCTGTGCAAATAGACCACTATGGGAAATAATAATTGTACCCCCCCCCCCCCCCCCCCATGCATTTGACACACCCACCTTAAGATAAGCTCTGGCCACGGGTGTAACTCACACTCACGGATGGTAAACAGTAGCTACGTCCCTCCTTTGTTTCTGTTTGACAGAGGTGAAAAACTGACAACCTTCCAGCATGCTGAGAATGAAATGTGTTTCATTCTAACCTTCCTTCCAACATGACTGAGACGTTAGACTGTTTTGGGATTATTTCACTGTAAACTTCACACCTTTATTCTTACATATTAAACCTTTAATATTCATCAGACCCCCAGGAATTCAACAATCCTTCCATTCAGAAAGATCAGAAACAAACAAACAAAAATTATGCCTTCTTGAAGCTTTTTGAACAGCCTCAGTTTTTAAGAAATACAGACTAGATCTGATTGGATTGATAGGCCAACGGCTAGTCATGTGAAAGCAACTTTGCATACCTCAAAATTAGAGATGCACCAAAAAAAAAGTGTGGTGATCAGGAATCATCTGATATAATGGACATCGTCTGAGATTGGCTGATCTGAAACTCTCGAATCACACGTAGGTTTGGGTCCAAGAACGTACGTACCCCTTTTGAGCAGCATTAAAGAACACACTAATACTACTGTAACCAGTACTACCACTACGGGCAACGGTGGCAGGGTGCTTAGCCCCATGATCAGAAGGTTGCAGGTTTGAGCCCCGCTCAAGACACGTAACCCACGTTGCCTGCTGGTGGTGGTCGGAGGGACCGGTGGCGCCTGTGCTCGGCAGCCTCGTCTCTGTTAGTGTGTCCCAGGGCAGCTGTGGCTACATCGTAGCTCATCCCCACCAGTGTGTGAATGACTGATTATGCTGTAAAGCATCTGGGGAGGGGGGTCCAGGAATCTAGGAGGTGCTATATCAAATAAAGGCCATTCACCATTTATTACTAATAGTTCCACTGCTACTACTACTACTACTACTATTACAAGTGACAAAAATAATAGTAATAATATTAATAACCATGAACACAAAGTATTGATTATAGTTGATTGAGATAATATGCAATCAAACACTATTTATATCATCTTCTTTTTTATAATTTAGTTTATTTTTTGGTCTGGATTACAGTAATCCCTGTTAGAACTGGGCCCAACCCGCCAGTTTCACCCAACTGGATCTGATAAATGAGCCATCTACAGTACAACACACATACACGGACTGCTCCAGACCTTTTCACAGAAACAAAATATATTTCCTAGTTTTATTACCTGACAGTACATTACTGTTATATTACCCAGTCAATATGACAGAAAGAGCTAGAAGAACCAGTGTTTCTGGCTCCTCCCACTGTGCTAGTTGTTAGCGCGAGCAAAACTAAGAAAAGGGAAAAAAGGGATT